TTGCTCTGAACAGCTGTGTGACCTTGAGCTGTTTACTCAACTTCTCTGTGTCTGCCTGACAAAGTGCTTGATGACAAGTAATTATTCTAAAATCGAAGCGCTTGTAGGAAATCAGTGCTGGGTCTGCTCTGACGGAGAGGAAGGTTTGTAAGGTGGGAAGTCAGAAAACCTGGAGGCTTTGTGATTTGGAGGAAACCAGCAACACTGCCCGCAGAGCTCAGAACGATGGTGTCAAAGGCTCCCCCCAGCTTCCACTGCACTCAGTGATCGACTCCAACTGCTCATCTCTGCGGAGCCGGCTTCCAGGCCCCCCGCCGCTGAGGAGAGCCCTCTGCCGAGGTTCTGCAAGGAGGGCCTCATAGAGCACCTACACCTGTGTCAGGGAAATACGCTGTGTTTGGACGAGGCACGGAGAGTGTGAAGACTTTTGGAGTTCATTCCACCAGGGTGGATCCAAGGGTCTCTTACGAAAAGTGGTCATGTTAAAAAAGTAACCTTTGAAAATGCAGGAGGAGCAGTTAAAGTGGTAGGTAGTGAAGGCGGAGGAGAGTTTAGGCAGGCCCTGCCTGAGTTGGCAGCAACGGAGGGGGTAGGTGTCCCATGGGTGACTCTGGGCGATTCCGGGGGGCTGTATGTGAGCCCCGGGGAGAGCTTCTGGTGGCGGGTGGGGCGGGCTCTTGCTGGCTTAGGGATGATTTTTTAAGCTACGAGATGATGCTCAGGGAGGGTAAAGAGAGAAAAGGTCCATGGGCCTGAGACGGAACCTCAGTGAGCACCAGCATATGTAAGAGGTGGCTGGAAGTGTAGGGGGCAGACACAGAGGAAAGTGTTGGCGGGGTCTGAGGAGACCAGGAGAAGGCAAGGCCATGGAGGCTAAGGGAGGAGACAGTTACAAAATGGTGTTCATTGGCAAGGTGGATTTCAAAGAACTTTGTGAGAACAGTGTGTGGAGAGCCCCAAGGGAACAGTGGCGGGTGGGAGACTGAGTGGACATGGTAGGAAAAGACTGGTCTCCTGTCTGATGGAGAACAGCACAAGGTGGTGGGGGCGACTAGACAGGTGTGGGGTGCATGTGGAGCTGCCCAGAGACTGGTGGAATGCGGACTGACCCTGAAGAGGCTGGAGACGGTCACTCTGGGGGCAGAGACATGCTTGCACGGTCTGAGCCTATCCCCAGCAGCGTGGTTGCCGTGGTGACAGTGGCGCAGTCCCACCTGTTCTGAGGTAGGAGATTACATTGCTGTCTGTGTCTCCCGAACATGGCAGGGATGGGCGAACTTAATTAGCCTGCTCGGGTAACAAATGTTGATCCTGGGCCCTGTCCAGAATGACATCTCTGCTGATGATGAGGAACAGTCCCATTAGGAGGGGATGGAAATGAAAGGTGAGTCGGTTCAGTCAGCACTCCAGTGCGCTCAAGCACCCCCAGTTCCGGTTCAGAGCCGCATCCATCGTGCACAAGACCCGCGTGTTCATCCATCACGCCAGCCAGCATCCCCCCATCACCTGGCAACCTGCACCGCCGCTGCCCCGACCGCGGGACCCGCCAGCCCCACACCACCGTATTATTGTGGGCAATTTCAAACGAGTGTCTAACATCTGTGCAGCAGTTTCAATCTGCTTTTCTGCAGTCAGCTCCACAAAACCACGGCAGCAGCAAAGCCCCAACAAAGCAGCTATTCCCTCGTGAAGGCCCTATTGTGATGCCGGGAAGGCTCCTGCTGGATGGGGTAACGAAGGGTAACGGAGCAGAAAAGGCAGCGGCAGCCATCCTGCCTCATTCTCTCCTGCCTCCGCCTGGTACGCAGACAACTGACCAACTGCTCCCCGCGGATCATGCCGAGGACGGCCCTCCCCCTAGGAGGAGAGGGACAGGGACCTGCCCAGGCCCTGGGGCTCGGCATTGAGGGCAGGGTGGGGGAAGGGGCAGTCAGGGCTTAGGGCTTCTGGGCCCAGCTCCTTTGGCTCTCAGAGCAGAGGGCCTCAGGGCGATCCTCAAGATGTGGTCTGGAGCAGCCCGGGGTGAGGAGGGGAGGGGGCAGACGCGGGTGTGATAGGAGCGTGGGGGGCAGAGCAGGAGGCCAGTGCCGACCGTGGAGCAGAACCCAGATTGGGAGAAGGGACCTGGGTCTGAGTCCTGGCGTGACCCCTGCCCAGCTGTGCACCCTCTCAAGCTTTGTCCTCTCTGGCAAATCAAGGGAAGGCTACCTCCCTCCCAGGGATGCTGGGAGCTTTCTGACACATGCCTTGTGCCCCCAGGGCCTTCTCTGCCTGTCCCTGCCATCACAGGCATCTCCGCACCAGGCAGCTCTGTACTCAGGAGCCATCGCTGCCGCCCGGCCTCCTCCGTTGCCTCGTTCCTTATGGCTGGGCGAGCCCTCCTGTTTCACCGCCTAAAAGGCCTCAACCCAAAGGTGCAGGCATCGAGGGCGGAGTCGTCACTGTGGGTGAGATCTCTTATCAAAGTGCGGTCCTGGAGTCCCTCAGATCCACCAGGTAGTGCCGGTAGGGGGCGCTCCGCGTCGCGGCTGTGCTCGGTGGGCTCGGCAGCCCTGGCTTGCCTGCTGGTGAACATTGTCCTCTGTGTCTCAGTGCCTTTGGAACCCAGAGGAGGCTTGAGGACAGAGGCCGGGGCAGGTGGTAGAAAGGATGGCAGGTCCCCTGGGGGCCAAGCAGTCAACAAGGAGTCGGCAGTGATGCTTCCTGATGCCTCTCGTCTGCGGAGGCGGCTGATACCTTGGCGTTGGGTGGTCACCTTCAGAAGGTGGGAGTCCAATGCTCAGGGCCGCCCTGGGGGCCAAGACATTTGGTTAAGGACAGAAGTCAGGGCTGGGGGGTCGGGGAAGAGGAGAAGAGCTGGCCCAGGGCCGGCCAGAGTCAGGAAGGCAGCAGCAACCTGTAGCCCTGCCCTCTGTGGGGCAGGCCCAGACGTGGACTTGGAGGCCACCCCCAGGGGTCCCCTCTGCCGCATGCTCCTCCACGTGGTCCCTGAGCCGAGGCCCGGCACTGTGGGAGGGCTCTGTCTGCGCCTGGGCTGGCTCAGGCCCCCCAGCCGGCCCTGTGGACATTTGGGGACCCAGGGACCCATCTGCTTGTACCCATCAGGCGTCCTGAGGTTTTCCTAAGAGCGTGATTCACGGTCTTCGGTGCAGTCAGTTCCCCTGACTGGCGACAGACTCTTCTTCTAAGGCAGAGGCGGGCAGAATAAACGTCTAGTTTGTCCACAGCAAAGACGGTGCCACCGGAGCCCCTCATTTTCTACAGGAGCAAGACTAGTCGGAGACCGTATCTGCGGGGCTCAGAGATTGTGCTGAGAGGACACCTCGGCTCAGCAAGAGGAGGGCAGGTCCCCGGGGGGTTCTGGGGACCCGGTCCTGTCTCTTCTCTCCTTCGCCAGCTCCCTGGCCCTTCACACCAACTCCCATGCTGGGAGCATCTACTGAACCAATGTTTCATTCCCCGCCGTCAGATCTCCCTCAAAGCCCCACCAGCCTTGCCCTGAGAGCTCCTCCAGCCCTTTCAGAAACGGGCGCCACCAATCCGCTTCCTCTCCAGGGACTCACGTGTACAGACGAACAGACAAACTGCTGGCGGCAAACTGACACCTTGAGGGGGTCATGGGAGAGAATTTGAGAGGGGCTTCAAGAACTCAGAGGCTGTTCTCGTTGGAACCCTTCATTTAGATAGTTAAGGAAGCAGAGGCCCAGAGAGGTTCATTTACTCTCCCAGGGACACACAGCCAACTAAGAAAGGCAGAGCAGACCCGGAACCCACATCTCCTGAATTCCCACTCCCCAGACTGATGTCCAGTGGGAGAGTGAGTAGCCCCTGCCCACGAATGGGACAAAGCTTCCGATGACGTGAGGTGTGTGACACCGTGGATGGAACATCTTGCATCTCTCTTTAGATTTATGATCTGGTTCGCGGGAACTCCGGCCTTCAAGTCTGCACGCAGGTGGCCTTTTCTTTTAATGTAGCTATTTCGCCAGCAGAGGGAGCTACCTCCCAGGTTCCCAGCTTAAATAATAAATGAGTCCTCTTAAGAGTTTCTAAAATGACAAGGCAATCAAGGCTCATTTGGGGAAGAAAAGATTGAGCTTTCATTCTTTATCCAAATCACCCCTACCTGCTAAAAATGATGTATAATACATAAGGATCAAAAGTGATTAAAATCTTTATGAATTTAATCAGAAATTCACGGTTAACCACTATTTGCTTTGGTGCAAATTGATGTGGAATAACAATCATGTGTATGTGCAAATTTTTTTTTAACTTGTGGGAAATTTGCTGGTGATTTGTGGGGGGAAGTGTGGGGGAGGGAAGCCATTGAAAGGAGAGAAAAGGAGGAAGGAAGCAATTGACCGAGGGCCGCCTGGGGGCCCAAATGTGGTGCCCTTAGCAGCACTACTGACGGCCTTTGTTCATAAACTTCAGGCCTTTTGCTATTTATTATTGTGAACAATAGGAAATCCTAATAATAACTCCTGTGTGTGCCGTTCGCTGTGACTGAGCAGAGTTCCCTAGATTGTTTCTCAGCTCTGAATCGTATGTTTGGGTTCCACACGCCCTCTCCCTCTTCTTTCATATTTTTTTTCAATTTCTTCTAAATTATGCCTCGTAAAACCAGACCCTGGATCCTCTGAAACACAGACAAGTGCTTAGGGCAGAGGGATGGACGCCCCTCCGTTTCCTTCCTCCCCTGAAAAACGCAAGACCTTCCTGAAAAGTTGAGGCAGTCCCTGGTACCGAGGGAAAAAGACATGTTGGCTACTATATATAAAAAATAGATTTAAAAAACATATTTCTTCTGTATAACCCAGGGAACTATATTCGGTATCTTATAATAACCTTTAACGAAAAAGAGTATGAAAATGAGTATGTGCATGTACATGCATGACTGGGATATCGGGCTATACACCAGAAATCGACGCATTGTAACTGACTATACTTCAATCAAAAAAAAAAAAAAGAAAAAAAACAGTTGACCAGGAAGCACTCACCTCCCTTTCCGAGTTGGGGACTTTTTTGTAGAAGGTTTTCTCCGCGTCTCCGATCCACACCACGGAGGGCTGGAGCTGGCGGGCCACCTGCGAGGAGAAACGGTTGGTTGTAAAATGCATTTCCCTCTCAGGTACACACGTGACCCCCGGGGACAGCAGGACTTGGCGGTGCCTGGGACGGCTCGGGGACAGCAGGGCGCCGCGGGGCTGCACGGCACCTCGGGCTGTACCCCGCTTCACAGCAGGATGGGGTAACGAAGGAGGGGTCTGCACGTTCTGCTCCAGAACCCTGAGCCTCCACTCTGACTGGCTTGAAATAAACCAATAGTTTTCTGCCACAAATGCAGGGCACTGGGCCATGAGTTTTAATTACAGCCTAAGCCCGGCTCCCACGGTGATTCAAGTTCGCTTGTTATGAGGAAAGTCGGCTCAGCGCCGGGGCCCCGTGGTCTTCCCCATGTGGCTGTGCCTTTGTGGCCGTGGTTTCGGCTGGAAGGCGGCCCTGAGCCGCTTCTGGGTGAATGGGGCTTCACGCCGGCATTGGGACTTACCGTGGGCCCATGAATAATTGCCACAATACCTAACAATCCCTTCAAAGTGTCCGCATTGAGGCGGGAAGCCCCATAAAAAGACCGGCAGGACCCCTAGGCAGGGCCGTTGCTCTCCTCCTACTAGCGTCTGGTTCGCTCGCCCAGAGGTTTTATCTCACTTTTTGCCTCTAAAGCGGCTAACTTACACCTAGAATTCTATTGGTTCCCTGAGCTCACTTTCCTTCACTCCTGATTGGTTATTACTCTCTCTTCTGATTGGTTACTACTCTCACTTCTGATTGGTCCAATTCCCTAACTTCTGATTGGTCCATTTGTAGTACTTCATTTGCATGGAGCTCACTCCTGATTGGTCTATTTCTACAAAGCTTGTTCCTGGTTGGTCAACTTCTGCTGTACTCTATTTGCATATGATGTTGCAAAGTGTAAAACTGGCAGCCTATAAAAGGCCTGTGTAACACTATAGACAAGGTCCAGAGTTTGAAGTGTTAAGTGTTTTGGGCTCGCTGGTGTAATAATCCTGAGTTCTGCAACTCTGTGAGTGCTGCTTGAAGTGCTTGGGATACAGGTTGCTGTTACAACTGAGCTGTAACACATATTTCCGGCAACACCGTGATCCTGGAGTTTGGGCATTTTTGCAACAATTTGTGCTTTGTACAAAATTGCTACAGATAAAAGCTGTCTCCAGCCACGACGAACACAGTGTTATGTACTCTAATTTTTATGTTTTTAAACATCAAGGCAGCAGGTGTGACTTTAAACCAAGACAGACATTTCATAAATGATGGAAAAATCACGGGGAACACTGGCTGAATCCGTCTACCCAGCACACATACCCAGGGAAGAAGAATATGCGCGTTCAAGGACACAAGTGGAGTGAGCGAGGTCCCCATGCTAGTCCGACACTTGGGGTGGCAGTTCCAGCCCCACACACGCTAGGACGTTCACAGAGGAAACAGTACCCACGAACCACTCTTTGGTTGACGTTACTTTTTAGACCCCAAGCCACAGCATGGAGGAGTTCAGAATTGCAAGTTTCAATCCCAGGACCTGAGGCAGCATGGCGGGGCGAGCAGGCCAGGCCTGGGCCACATGTGTGGCACAGGGCATCACATGAAAGGTCATGGCCAGCATGGACCTAGCACCTCCTCTGCTTGGAGGACACCGTCTGTGATAACTCATTCACTCACACTACAACCTGATGAAGCAAGTACCATGGTTATCACTCCTGTTTACAGATGGGGAAACTGAGGCTCAAAGACGCTAAGTGTCCTGTCCAAGGTCACACAGCTAGAAGGTCCCAGAAGCAGGATGTGCAGCAGGCCAGGCTGATGGCTGGAAGCAGGGCCACGTCCTCAGGTCCCTTCACTTACTCAAGCCAGATGCTTGGGCATCCTCCCCTGTCTCACCTCCCATGTCTGTCCATCCCCAAGTCCACCCATCTCCCTCCTAATGCCTCTCAACCCCATAAATGCATCTATTCTCTTGGCTCCTGACTTTACTCCCCAACTTCTTTCCAGCTGGCCTGCCCGCTGAAGTCCCAGGGACTGACTCAAGTGCCCCAGGGGCAGGCTCCAAGGAACCATTGTTGCGCTAAAAGCTACTCTGAGTTTAAGTCAAAAGCTTTCCTAGTTCCATCCAGCCCCTAAAGAAGATAAAAAAAGAGATATTGTACATGGAAGGTTTTACGCTTTCTAGGAAAAAGACACTTTATAATAATACAGGCAAAATCTTATTCTTTTCCGTCACTCTTAAAGAAATCTTAGTTTTAGAACTGAAACCAATGGAAAAACAATTTTTCCGTAAAGAATTGTCTCCTATCTCAGGCTGGCTCTTGGGCTTACCGGTGCCGCACACTGGCCTCTCCTGTGTCCATCTGGCAAGATGCGGATTTTCCACGGCTTTGCTTTGGCCTCTGTTCTCTCAGTCCAGCTGTTCTTAATGGGAATTGCAGATGTGAGTCCCAAGTACTCCAGTGTTCCTTTGCTCTTTCTGCTTTCTCCTTCCCTTTAGTTTGTTGATTGAGTGATTGATTGAACTCTAGTCAGTTTACAATGTTGTGTCAATGTCAGCATCGTGTTTCAGTCATACATGTACATACATATATTCTTTTTCATATTTTTTCTTTATATGTTACTACAAGATATTGAATATATAGTTTGCTGTGCTATACAGTATGAACTTGTTTATCTATTTTATATACATTACTGTGTATCTGCAAATCTGGCACTCCCAGTTTATCCCTTCCTACCCCCTTCACCCACTGGTAACCATAAGTTTGATTTCTATGTCTGTGAGTCTGTTTCTGTTTTGTAAATAAATTCATTTGTATCATTTTTTTTTCTTTCAGCTTTTGACAAAATTAAGCTACAGAGCTGGGCTTGAAGCACAAGCGTCTTATTGACTTGGGGTAATTCTTAAACGAGCAGTCTCATTTCCAGCACCTTATTTAAAGCTGTTTTGAAAACCTGGACACCCTATTCCATTGAACGTGCAAGCTGAGGACCGTTCCCTGAACTTGAACGCCCCTTCAGAGCGAGTGGGGGAACTGCACACTTCCTGGGTTTCTCGCACGCACCTGTGAAGGAATTCCCCCCGCAGGACGCTCGCCTGCTCTGGGGCTCACAAGGGCGCATGGAGGACGCGGTGGCCACGTGGTTTGGGAGGGCGCGATTATTATCAGATAAACAGAAATCACTTCCCGAGCCAGTTCCTGGACGGTAACAATACAAGGAACAGTTGTCTGTAAACGGCCTGGAGACCCGGCGCCCGCTCCCCTCTCCCCCGTCCCGCGCCCCCGCGGAGCCCCGCACGGCCCACCCCTGCTCCCGTTTCACACGTGAGCTCGCTGAGGCAGAGAGGGAAGTCAGTAACGCGGCCCACCAGCACGGAGACGCGTGGAGCCCGGAGGCAGCCCTGGGTGGCCTGACACCCCCAGGCCCCCGCTGTCACCCAGGCAGCAGGCCGCTGTGTTACCGTGGAGACAAGATGCCTGTTCCAAAGCATCTCCTGACCCCTGGCCCGTGTCCTCCTCCATCACTTTCCACTCTAACAGGAAGGGCTCTAAAGACATCCAGTCTCGTTCTCCAGAGTGTGAACCTCTATTTCTGTGACCTTCCTTGGTGGCAAGCTGGCCAGGGGACACCTGGTGGCCCTGCTCAGTTCTGGGCAGAGAACAGAGACCCAGACACTCGGGCCCTCCCGCCAGGAAGAACGGCAGGAACCGAGGCTCCTCTCCTTGTGGAAAAGAAGACTCGAGGGGGAGGCTAGCTGTGCTCAGACAGTTGAAAGGCTGTCGTGGGGAGAAAGCCTGGTTTTGTTGTTTTGGGCCCAGCGTGTAGAATGAAGGCCATTCTCTCATCTTTCACTCAAAAATCATTTAGTTACACCAGAAATTAACACAACGTTGTAAATGGACTAGACGTCAAGTAATAGAAAAAGAAAATCATTTAGAGAGGGGCTTTGATGTGCCGAACACTGTGCTCGGTGCTGGGGCCCCTGACCTCAAGGAGCCCACCGCTGGGCACGGAGGGCAAGTGTGAGGCTGGGACAGTGGCGCAAGGGAAACAAACGTCCACGAGGACCACCAGCGACAGAAAGAGGGCAGAGTGGTGAGGAGGGTGCCTTGGAGTGAGACAGCAGGCGAGGGTTCAAGCACACAGACCTTCCAGTGTTCTCCAGGAGGTCCCAGAGCCTGGGGAGGGGACGCCTCTGCCATGCTGAGGACGGGAGCCAGGGTGCAGAGTGAGGTGTGTCCACATGGGGCTGCTTGGGGTCATTCTGGAAGATGTCACAAAAGCCTTGGCGAGGCTACAGAGTTTGCTTTTATTCTGGAAGCTGTCGAGAGTCTGTAAGGAACTTGAATCACCACCTTTGATTCTGGTTGTGTTATAGAAAAATCCCTTTGGTGGGATGGGTGGCTGGTCCCTGGAGCCTGGGAACTAGGTTGGGGGGTGGTGTGTGCACAAGGTGTGCAGAGAAGTGAAGCTGGGGGCGGAGAGACGGGTGAGGAGATTCTGGGGGAAGACGAGGTGGGACCTTGAGCAGAGGAGAGGCAGGGCATGCAGGAAATGGGTGTGGGAGTACCTAGGAGCTGCCAGACCTGGTGATGGTTGGGTGCAGGATGAGGAAACGGGGGTCTCCAAGGCTGGGGGGCTGGGGGGGCTGGGAGGACAGAAGGCTGACGGCCCAGGAGTCCAGACAGGGGACTGGACTAGGGATGAAATGATGAGGCCACTTTAGGCCACGGGAGCCCGAGGGCAGCTGGGAGTCCAGGCAGGGGGATTGACGGGTCTGGGGAGCGGGGGTGGAGGGGGCACTGGAAGGGCAATGGAAGGGCCCTGCGGCTGCAGCAAACGAGGGTAGAGGGGCCGTGAGAATGGATGGAGGGGCTCCCAAGTAAAGGGGGAGTGTGGATGAGGCCAGGCCAGGGCTGTGGAGCAGGGACCACTGGGTGAAGGCATTAATGAAGGAGGTGGGGTTGACAAGGAAGAGCAGCACCAGAGGAACAAAAGGACACAGAAGAGGGAGTGTCCTGGA